GAAAGGTATGGCTTTGGTGAAAAAATTATAAAGTGGTTTCAAGAATATTTGACTGATAGAACACAAGTGACAAAATATGGTGCCATTTCATCGGCTCAGAAGTCTCTGTATGGTGTGCCACAGGGAACTGTGTTAGGTCCTACTCTTTTCATACTGTATATAAATGATATTGTTGATGTTGTTAAAAAGTGTAAGGTACAGTTGTTTGCCGATGATACTGTGATATATGCAATAGGGGATAAGGTAGATGAAATAATCGATATAATAAATGAAGAGATATGTAATATATTAAAATGGCTCGATAATAATTCCTTAAGTCTTAATGTAACTAAAACAAAAATGATGCTTATAAAGAATAAAAATTTTAAATTAAATAACATAATAAAGATGTAAAAATTAATAATATTGCTTTGGAAAGAGTGGTTCAGTATAAGTATTTGGGATGTATTATAGATGAAAATTTAAGTTTTGTTGAACATTTTAAGTTTGTTACAAACAAAATAGCAAAAAAAATCTATGCATTGGGAAGAATGTCAAAAAATTTAAGTTGCTGGTCTAGGTTGACCATATATAAATCGATTATTGCTCCCCATCTCTATTTTTGCTCTACATTGCTGTTTTTAATGAATGCTTCTCAAATGAACGTACTGCAGAAAAAACAAAATAAAGCCTTAAGGATAATATTAGGATGTAGTGTATACACTAGTAGAACTGACATGCTAACAATGGCAAATGTTTTAAGTGTAAGACAGACAATTGTATGTAATAGTATGATTTTTGTTTATAAAATGTTAAATGGTCTGATACCTGTGCATTTGTGTAATAATTGTACCTTTGTTCGAGATGTACCTACATGAACACAACACACGTTCTAGAAATAACTTTTATCTGAATAGGGTCAACACTAATTTTGGTCAGAACAATCTTTTTTATAGGGGATTAAAGCAATACAATGAATTACCGGAAAACATTAAGGCTTCTGGAAACTTAGCTCAATTTAGAAATTTATGTAAGATATATGTTAAGCAAAGCATTGTGATTTAATTTTAAGCGTATAAATTGATGTATTTATATGTATATTTTTCTAGCCATGTGCTATTAATAAAGATTATTATTATTATTATTATTATACCGGTCAAGTTTTATTCTTAGTGAGCGGGAAAATCCGCGTTTGAATCTCAGTGGGGGTAAACTGTCGATATTAATTAATTAATTAATTAATTAGATGGTCAGTAAACAAAGTATTTGTAAAAGTATATTTTTTCACAGTACAATCCAATAAAAGTGAAAAATATAGCAGGTAATAATTTTCAAACCATTTGTAGGACTAGAATTGAGGTTTTTTGATGTTTTAATATACGACTGATCATTTTTTATGCCTTATTGACTCGTTTCATCACTTATAAAGCACCTCGTGTAAATATTGGATCGGAAAAAATAATTTAATGACCTTTTATGACATTACTTATAATGAATTGGCATCTTTTCTCGTATTTAACTTAAATATCTCATAACCCGTATTTTGAACCCGTATAATCATCCCTTATTACCAAAAAAAAAAGTGGAAAACAGTCTTTACCGGCTTACTTATACAATTTAATACATTAATTATATTAAACCGAAATCTTTTTTCATGTTTATATCAAATATTTCTTTTTTAAATAATTGATGGATTCGACCGTTTGATGGAAATTCATTTTATGTAACAATAAAACACTGAAAACTTTGTTTTTAAACTTCCACAAAATTTATTTTAAATATTATCACTACAGCTGTTTCGGCTGATTGCCTTTCTCAAGTAATCTATTTTTGGCATGCGTTTACAATTTATAGTCTCTAATGAAATAGGTTGAGGAGGCGGGAACTGTTTGTCTCAAGTTGGTCATTCAGAATTATATCTGTGTTTTTTAATTTGTTGATTTCCATAGATTCTAACAAAACTTAAGGCCTTTATTTTGAATGTGAAGAATTTTAAATTTGTCATTAAAAGAATGATTATGATCTAGAAGGTGAAGTGCGTATGTCGAATCTGTTTTTCTATTCTTGAAAGCCATTTTATGTTCTGCTATTCGTTTATCAAAGTTTCTACCAGTTTGACCGATGTAAGTTTTTGGACAGTCGCCACATTGAAGTTTGTACACACCACTATTTAAGTGTTTTTTATTTTGGCTCTTGTTATTTTTAATATATTTGCCTAGGTTGTTATTTGTTCGGAAAGCTGGTGTTATTCTTTTCTTTTTTATGTGTTTGGCAATTTTTGTTGTTATTTTGCCTGTATACGTAATCGAGCAGAAGGTACTGGGTTTTTTCTCTGGTGGTGGAAATACTAATTTCAGGGCTTTCTTGTGTAGTTTTTGATTACATTACGATAACAATTAATAAAATGTTAAATCAAAACTACACAAGAAAGCCCTGAAATTAGTATTTCCACCACCAGAGAAAAAACCCAGTACCTTCTGCTCGATTACATATACAGGCAAAATAACAACAAAAATTGCCAAACACATAAAAAAGAAAGGAATAACACCAGCTTTCCGAACAAATAACAACCTAGGCAAATATATTAAAAATAACAAGAGCCAAAATAAAAACACTTAAATAGTGGTGTGTACAAACTTCAATGTGGCGACTGCCCAAAAACTTACATCGGTCAAACTGGTAGAAACTTTGATAAACGAATAGCAGAACATAAAAGGGCTTTCAAGAATAGAAAAACAGATTCGACATACGCACTTCACCTTCTAGATCATAATCATTCTTTTAATGACAAATTTAAAATTCTTCACATTCAAAATAAAGGCCTTAAGCTATCTTTGTTAGAATCTATGGAAATTAACAAATTAAAAAACACCGATATAATTCTGAATGACCAACTTGAGACAAACAGTTCTCCAATCCTCAACCTATTTCATTAGAGACTATAAATTTGTAAACCCAAGCCAAAATAGATCACTTGAGAAAGGCAATCAGCCGAAACAGCTGTAGTGATAATATTGAAAATAAATTTTGTGGAAGTTTGAAAACAAAGTTTTCAGTGTTTTATTGTTACATATTTCTTTTTTATTTTTTTTTATCCCTTATCTACATCTTATCTATTCTTTATCACAAAAAATATATGAAAAAATCGTGAAGGATATATTTACACAGAACATTGAAAAAGATGAAAAGAAAAATGTAATAGAAATGTTTGAATGTAATAGAAAGTGTAATAAAAAAAAGGTTTTTCGCTAAATTTAATCCCGAATAAGTGAAAAAACATGCATTTAAAAAAATCGATAGAACTTTTTTTAAAGTGTCTTTCAAAACACACGTTGACACATGGTAAATTTTCTTGTTGAGATATTTTCCAGCTACTACTAAAATAGATACGTTTGCAAGTAAATCGGAGGAGAAAACCTTGATATAATTTACTATTCACAAATTATTTTAAAAATTATCCTATAAATAATAATGGTTTTAAAGTTAAAACAATCAATGAGTAATAATATTGTAATGCTTGTTGAAATATACAGAAATATTGCCAAATATAATCTAGCATCATTTTTTATTATATTTTAATTGTGTCCATATTGTACCTAACTGGAAAACTTTGACCTACTGTAAATTTTAAATATTTTTTGTAACGCCACTGCTTCCTTACATTCTACATGCTACAAATTCTCACCACAGATTTTGAAAATGGCTACATAATATAATACTATTTGATATTAAGATTTAGTTTCATTAAATAATAACACAACATTTGTAGATCTGGTGAAATATTGCTCCTAGAAAAGCAAACATTAGCAAGTTAATTTAATTTAGTTAGTTAGTTTTATTTTTTTTATTATTATCTCGGTTTTTTATAGCGTTCTCCGCCTTCCGGTTTCCAGTTTCTAGCTACGTCGTTCATTCCATTCGCCAGGGTGAAGGTTTCTTTCCGACATTGCCTTCTGAATGCCGCCCAGCCAGAATTGTTTTGGCCTTCCTCTCTTCCTTCTTTCAAGTATTGCGTTTTGTTTCTATTTACAGAGAGGCCCCATTCTTAATATGTTTTAAGCAACCGTCTCGTCATGAATTCTAAATCTTCCTTGTCTGCTTCCACTACTACTTAATCGTCCGCAAAATGTAGAGTGTATAATGTTGTATCGTCGTCAAGTTGGATCCCCATTCCTGAACAGGATCTTCTCCAGTGTTTTAGTGCTTCATTTAAATAGATCTTATTAGATTTATCTTAAATAGGAGAGAGGCAGCATCCTTATCGTAAGCCTTTTGTTATTGGAAATTCTTCTGATAAGGTGTTATTTAGTTTGATTTTTGATGATGCTTTATTGTATAATTGTTTGACTGCGGCGATGATCGTGCTATTTAATGGAGATCGTTCAAGAGACTGCCACAGATTTCTCACAGGAATCGTGTCATATGCTTTTCTGAGATCCATAAATAAAAGATGTATTTCCTGGTTTCTTGCAACTTTCTTTTCATTCAGTTGTGTAAGGGTAAATATGTGGTCTACGCAAGATCTTCCAGCTCTAAATCCTGCGTGCTGTTCAATTTCATGAGGTTCGTATTCTTTCTCAATTATGTTTTTTAAGATTTTACCAAACAGCCTACTAAAGGTACTGGTGACAGAGATACATTTGTAGTTTCCGCAAATATCTTTTGGACCTTTTTTGTAAATTGGAGTAATCCATGCTTCTTTCCAACTATTCGGGATTTCTTCATCATTTAAGTATCTTGTGAATAGCACTTTAAGATAGCTTATTAGTTTTGGTGTTCCGTTTTTTAGAAGTTCTGCTGGTATGTTCTCCGGCCCGGATGCTTTGTTATTTTTCATCGATTTAAGCACTTGTTGTGTTTGTTCTCTTTCCACGTTTACATATTCACCTTGTACTCGTATTCGTTAAGGTGAGTCAGTATTATAAATATATCTGTCTTCATTCAGTTCCCTTGCGTAATGATCTTTCCATGTTAGTTAGTTTTATAATATTGTATTTCTTAAAATATCTTTCTGTTTGCAGAATTGCTTCAAATCCGAAAGAACAGCATACCTTGACAAGTGTCAAACTTTTATCCCCGATTACCAAGCCTGATAAAATATTGGGAGTTGCATCTAATTACAAGGATGACTGCAAAATGAGAAATATTCCATATCCCAAGGAGCCAATGGTTTTTAGTAAATTTGCTTCTGTGATAATCGGACCTAATGATCCAATTCCTAAATCGGACGCAACAAATGTAAGTATAATGTGTTACTAAGACAACCTGATCTTTGTATTTATCAAAAAAATTCTAAAATTCTAAAAACTAAAGTAAATGGTATAGGACAGCATGGTTTCCCAGTTTGAGTTCTCATGCTGTCTTCGTTTAATTTCCTGAACGGGATGAGTGGATGGAACAAAAGCCTGCACTGATTAACTACTAATAGATGTAATTAATTACTATTTAACTGAGAATAAGCCACAATTAAAGATAAAAATACGTGTATTGGCGTTTCAATTTCCACTTCGGAAATCGTTCTCAAAATACAAATAGTAAATTAAACAAATTTTGTTTTTTGTTACATAGTGAAAAATTCCTCTAATAATTTAATTTTATTTGACTCATTTATATTGACAATTCAGACATACATTATGCATTTTAAAGTAGACAACTTTAAAATGATATTGCCAATATTGTTGAGTTGCGCTCCAGGGACGACTTTACTTATAAGATAGTTCATTCGATTACATGAAATCAACTTTAACTTGAGAATATCCGTCAGAAAAAAATCATAACATGTAATTCGTCTTTAAAAAGACAAACACATGGAATGATGACAGTAAAATTCTCCTGTTAGTGATTTCATAGTAAATTATAAGGGAAAAACCAGGAAAAAAACCTCATAATACTATCCGACATGGTAAGTATTTGTTCGTGCATTTAGTTTACCTTCAATAAACACCAAAATTCTGATTTTATATGTTTCGTTATTTAAAAAACATAAATAATGTATCCTGTATATATTACTGACTTACTAATACTGGTATTTTCTTATTAAAAATGTATAAAAAATTTGCAAAAATTTTTTATTTTTTATTTGAAATTATTGTTGATGTGAGTTATCTGTCGTGGTGTTTATAAATATTTTAGAAATTTAATTCAAATTCTGATATATTAATATATTAATATCTGATATATTAATATGTAACCACAGTAATAAGTGGATAATTATTGATGGTAATTAATTTATGGGTTCAAGAAATTGACTGAATTATAAAGCCTTCAATAGAAAAACTACCAACTATTAGAACTATTAGAACTACCAACTAATTATTGAAGGCTTTATAATTCAGTCAATTTCTTGAACCCATAAATTAATTACCATCAATAATTATCCACTTATTACTGTGGTTACATATTAATATATCAGATATTAATATATTAATATATCAGAATTTGAATTAAATATCTAAAATATTTATAAACACCATGACAGATAACTCACACAAACAATAATTTCAAATAAAAAATAAAAAATTTTTGTAAATTTGTTATACGTTTGATTATAAAATGTACATGTTTAGTTGCCAAAGAATCACTTTAATTTGTTCAGTAATTTGGACTAAACTGAGTTAGTTATAATGTGGGATGTATTTCAATTATTCGTATTGTTACATTTAAATTTAATAAATTAAATATTGTTAAAGTATGCCAATATTAAACACATCAATTTACTTTTAATATCTTAATTGAAACAATTTATAGACATTCATTAATATCAGGATATTTCATAAAACTAGATAACTTAACTTGCAGTATTGAGAAACAGAAGAAGAACTGTCACATGCTAACCTACATCTGTCAAATTTACCACTAAAATCTAATAGATAACATAAAAAACTCATTGTGCCCAAGACTGAGATATAGTGCATAAAAGTTCTTTCCCTTTTAAATTTAATGTTTGTTTCCTCCCTTTTAAGTGTTTTCTGTTTTAGTGTGTTTTAAATTGTCATTAATCGTTTTAATTCTAATATTTTATTTACTCGATTTTGCAATAATCTACTATTTTGCCAATAGAACTTTATCAAAGAAATTTGATAATTACAAGTTGAAAAATAATTGCACACCCACACAATTTGTACATCTAAACTTATTCATTGTCATAAAACTGTCACCTTCATAAAACAATTACTTAATAAATAACACACATTTCATAAATATATCTCTTGAATAAGTATAAATAACTTTTAAATAATGCAATGGTATATAACATCACTTTCATTTAACAAACAATCACACACATATCTCTGCTTCATTGGATCAAATCTATCTCCTCAAGAACTTCCCGTTTACTGTCAAACAACTACAATAGCAGAATTAAGTTCTCCATTCAACAATACATAATAGTTTGAACCATGTTCTACCATCCATCAATTAATAGAGTACCGGCATGTAAGTAATGTTTATTTATTTGCTCATTTATTAATTTATTACAATTTAATAGACTATTTTATAACAATTTGTGGGTCTTACCTTGTCTGTTTAAACTTTTAAAACTTTTTATACTTTTTTATTCAATTTACTCATTTTGAAATAAAACCACAGACATGTAATATTGGCATAATTATTGTAATTTATAAGATCTAATTTATTTATCTTTATTACACACAATCCTAATATGGGTGTTTATCATTTCAGCATTTATTTAACTTTGTATCGAGACCTGAAGATGCTTTGCATATTATAGAAAGCGAAACCGGTCGTCTGATAGTTAAATTAAATTGATTATGAGTAAGTCTTATTGATTATTTCTTTACCTATTTCTACAAGTATTCCATCTGGGCCCGGAGCCTTATTGTTCTTTAGTTGTGTCATAGATTGTTTTATTTCGAAGGATTCTATGTTAAGGAGTATTTCTGAGTTGGCATTTGTTAACTTTCTCTCTTAAGATCTTTCTTTGAAGTGTTATCTGGGATTTTGTTTGAGGAATATAAATCACGGTAAAATGTTTGAGTAACTTTTAGGATTTCGTTTTTTTCTTTTATTTCTTTTTCATCTTTATCCTTAAATGAGATTATTATAGGCTTTCCTAAGTTAGAACTTAAGCATTTTAGGCATCGGTTCTTTTCTATTATTTTCTACCTTGTTTTCATCATAGATCTTTAAATCTTCCTTTCCTCCCTTCTTTATTTGTTTATTTAATTCTTTGAAACCATTTCTTGCTTCGCTTTCCTTCGCTTAGAAATGTGCTTCTCTTTTCATCAACCGTTTTGTTCCTTCACTTATCGTTTTCTTTGTAACACTTAGCCCTACTTTCGTTGCATTTCTTTATCAATTGTATCATCATCTCGAAATATTCTTGTTGATAATGTTCTACAAATTTTTTTTAAGACTTCTCTCTACTCATCTCTCTTCTGTCGTATTTTAGTTTGATCTATCTGATTATAATAATTATGTGACCTGTTTATACTGGTTTTCGTCTGTTTAATAAGAATCTTTGCTCTTAAAAGGCGATGATCACTTTTTTATTGCCGATACCAAAATTTTGTTGATAGCAATATTTATACAAATACTCTTTGATTTGAACGTTTTATTATTAACGCATTAATTGGAATCATTATTTAGTTAGATATTTGAGAGAAATCTGTCAATGTATCTAGTTTCTTAGGCATGTGTCAAGGGGTATAATTGCAGAGTAAGTAGAGGGAATTGGATAAACCACTTAACAGGACGTTAATTTGTCCGCCTGTGCAGGTGGTCAACAAGCATATTAGCTGATGACGTTTCGATTCCATTCGGTTTAATTAGCACAAAACTCGCAACTCTGTATTTGTCCTTTACATCAGTTGTCTAGTTACATCAAGCAAGATTACATGGAAAGCCAAATAATACCAACGTGGAAATAATTATGTGTTATATTCTTTTTTGCTTTGTTATATTGTATGAAAGCAAGAACAGAGAAATAAATGTTAATTTGAGTCAAAAAATAGTTAAAAGTTTAATAGTGCTGGACTGCTGATTTATCCACACTCGCTTTGACATTGAAATTTCTTACATTTGTTACATTTTCGTTGTCAACAAAGTTTAAAACATTATTCTTGTGACATCTTAATACAATTTTTTCATTTTATTGGGAATAAGCCACAATTCTACTTTAAAATAAGTTTATTTTAACGTTTTGATTTCCACTTCAAAATTTTTTCTCTGAAAGTACAAAACGATTAATTGACCATTTATTTTTTACAGCCATATGATAATAAGAGGTGAACATAGAGAATTCTGAAGTAGAAACTTGCAAATTTATAGAAGTCACATATTAAAGCAAAAATCTGAATTTTGGTCTCGTCAATAGAAATCTTTGGATTGTGGAGGGTTTTTGGTCAATAGATAGAGAATAAAATAAAGGATATTGCTACGTCATGCTTTTATTAAAGAAGTTTTGTATATTAATTCATACACATCATCAGTTCATCTACAAAAGCAAACATACATAGATACAAAAAACTTGCACATGGTTTACTTTACAAAAGAAATGAAGCATAACTAAATGGAAGTCAAGAAAATAGCTTAATTTATGAACTATTCAGATTAAAAAGTACAAAAGTTTCAGTTTAAGTTATCAAAAACAGAACTGAGTCAGTTTTGTAAAACTTTTTAACTTATCTGCCAACAGTTTAATCCTTCATCCCACATAATTTTTATATCTATGTTTGATATAACCAAACCAATGCAGTCTTTATTCTTGAATCTTTTTTAAAATTGTAGGCTTTTTCCCTAATCAAGTCGTTTGTGTTGCTGTCTTTTCTAGTCTTTTCTAGTCCACCGTAACATGTTCGTTTCAACTATCTCTATCTTGTTTTCGCGAATCTTTTCTACAGGCTACACTTCACCACCGTACACCTACGCAGATCTCATGATGCTCTTGTTTATCTTTTCTTTCAGCCATTCCTAGATTTTTCGATCACCAAGTACCCAGCTTATTCGCTTTCAGTTAAACCAACCAGATTGAATCCTTTGGGCAATTTCTTGATCTCCCATTTACCGTTATGTAGGAGACAAGATATTTAAAACAATCAGATTCTGATTCCAGATTCCAGATATGTACCCAACTATTTCTCTTCCTCTCCTCCATTTTCGACCTGGCAACTGTAAGTCCTCCCTCTTCAATAGCCCTTCTCCAAATCTCCAACTGTTAAAAGGTCGTTGGTTAAATAATATTAGAAGAATAATGGTAAACGGGGAACAGAATATGCAGT